GGATTCTGATTGATGCTATCCTTTCCTATCTCATCCTAGAATGTTGTGACAAGGTCATGCAAATGAGGTCATCACCATGCGCTGTATCGCACCACCATGAGGTCATCACCATGCGCTGTATCGCACCACCATGCTTTGTGTAGGCAGATGAAACCAGTGCTAGTTTTGAATTGAGTGAAAAACAGTACTACAGTACAAGTACAGTCCTGCCTAATGAAATCCAGTCGCGTCACTCAAGTACACGCCGTCCGTTGCAGAGCCCTAGACCTGCAAGGACTGGGCTGTGAACTGGTGCAAGGCGCACACTGGAATGAGGCGACTGGATTTCATTGAGCAGCATTGTAGTTTGTACAGAGATTTGAATGGTAAATGTGTACAGAGTGGCAACCCATACAAACAGTGCTACGGTCTTGAATGGTAACCCTGAGCTAGCACACCATTACACCACTGCTTTGCCGTTTCCATCCGTTTCCATCTCAAATGCTAGCATAATCACTTAGCCTCTTTACGTATATGCCCAGTTAACACCGCAATTGCTGTCAGAAGTATCAAATTTCTGATTGGTATAATCAATTTGATAACAATACCGATAGTAAGCTCTATGGTGGCCGATGCACAAATTGCGAATGGTTGCCCGACGTTTCCAAGTATGAACTTACCTGCATGATTGTGCAGAGGTACAGAAAAGAAGACTGTTCAACAGCAGCGGGTACAAATGGGTACTAGCTAAGTACACATCGTAACATAGTGAACTGGGAAAGGAGAAACAAGATTGGAAGACGTTTTTTCATGCTCTCGCATAACACCTGGATCACATATGGAAGTCAATACATTGGCTGGGGAATGTGGTAAAAACGTGACTGGCTTGTGTTCTCCTGTTACTCTGTGCTCATTGGTTCTGTAATTTCCCTGTCATTCTTGTCGTCCAGGGGTCAGATACTGCTATTAACAGTACGGTCAGGTTCTCTGCTGTCGGAGTGTCTACTGATGTGGCTTCCAACAATCCAGCTAGCGCACACAAGGTGATTGGAACAGGGTTAAAGGGGTGTGTGAGTGGTGCTGTATGTAGTTGTAGTCACTCAAAGCTTTATTAGGGGAAGCCACAAATTGTGATACAGAACGTCAAAACCAAGCGGAACAAAAATGATTACCAAAATCCAGTTTAAAAACCGATAAAATTGTACCGTGCCAATCAGCTAATATTAAAAGTAAAATGCCAACCCCCAACAAGATGCAGGCTATTATTAGATGCAGCATTCTACTAAAGCCGACCAGCCTATTAAAGCGACACTGGTCTAAGAAGGTGGAACGTGATCCGCGGTGCGGGTAAGATGCCCGACAGCCATGAAAACGCGTAACATACCACTTCAGCAGCACGAACGGTGGTGGTGGTGTGTGTGTGTGTGGGGGGGGGGGGGGTGTTGGTAGTGGCTGCAGTGTTGGCAGTGATGTAAGCGTGTTGGTGATAGCGCATAGCCTAATGATTTTTCAGTTAAAATTAATCTAAGTAAGCTAAACAAGTAAAGTGGGACGGCATTTATCGTTATAACATTCTGTTCTACCTTACTAGTGCTTGTAAGGAAGCTCCGCACTTTCGGGCATAGAGCACTTTGTGTGCTGAGAGGACTTAACCTACGTTGTCTAAGTAAGCTAGATGATGGACGTGTAACAGTGCTGCGTCACGGGTTCCCTGTCTGTTTGACCTGAATGCTACAGGACTGTTCATCCACTGCCTGCCATGTGTCAATCCTGTGTACAATCCCATGGCAAAGCAGAGATGCGGTGACCAACGTACGCTTCCAATGGAGAGTCTACACTCACAATGTCAAGCTGGTGAGTAGCACCCAGAACGGCAGACTGTGACCCCACTCTATTCAGTATCATTACCTTCACTGTCCTTTTTATACTTTATTTTTCTTCTAGTCGATATCATGTAATTGGGCAAATTTGCCTGTTTGTTCTTTGACTCTAAAAAAAAGCAAACAACAACTAAAACCCAGTTGGCCAATAGGTTATAGCTATTGCCTCAACAGAATAGGTTTAGACTTTAGAGCATGGGCTGGGTAGGCTCATATCCAAGCATTGGTGGTTCAGTGGTAGAATCCTCGCCTGCCACGCGGGGGGCCCGGGTTCGATTCCCGGCCAATGCATTTTTGTTCCTTTTTTTTTTTTTAAATTCTCCGAAGTGAAGAAAAAAAGATGCATTGGCCGGGAATCGAACCCGGGCCCCCCGCGTGGCAGGCGAGGATTCTACCACTGAACCACCAATGCCTGGATGGCTACTTCTGGGCCATGGTCAATCCAATCATTTTCTTTCCATAAAACTCTAGATGAAATTGGTTGTTCCTACGCAGTTTTTTTTTTTTTTTTTTTACTACGTTCACATAACCAGCTCGAAAAGAATAAGGAAAGACAATGGTACGGAGACTAGGACAAACTGACAAGTAATGAGCAGGCGCTGCACCGAGACGCAGCAGTGATGGTGGGGCATTGATGACTCTGCCGACCTGAGGTCTCGACGTCACGGCCAAAAACACGCACCAAAAACAATGAAAAAAGAAGAAGATAGAGCTGTACAGGTGAGAAAGATGCAAAAACCCAAGGCTTAACACGAGCGATTGTGGGGGAGAAACTGTCTTAGCGTCATACTATTCATAGGGAATCGACTGCCCAGGGCCAGTTTGTGCTGCGAAGATGGCGGTAAACATTCGTTTTGAATGATTGCATTCTCTTGCTGTACATGCTTCCTGCCAAACTTGACACTTGACTGACTCACAAAAAATTCTAGACCTAGAAAAAATTTAGTGTGAAAGGATCTCACCAGGTACTCGTTAGCTCGCTCACCAGAAACTCGGCTTGTTTGCGCAACAAGCTGGTTTGCACTAACGAGCACCGTGTACGTTACAGCATGCACATTACAGTACAGTCAGTGCATCTAGCGAACTCTCCGTTTGAGCAAAAGTCACGATTAGATGTTTTGGAATTTTGTTCCTGCAATGCAGCGAAGAACAGGGCTACTTGCAATCTTTGCAAAACGCTCTATTCTTACAGTAGCGGCTGAACGAAGGCGCAGAAAAGACAACTCGACAGAAAATACCTGTCCTAAGTGAAGCCAGTCCGAAGCACCAGCAACCCAAGCACCAGCGGTGAAATTTGAAGCAACTGAATTAAAAGAAATCTTCTTTGGGGCATCAGTAAAGTTGTTAGCTCGTTCGATAGCTCGCTCGTTAGTGGAACTGTTCGCTCGTTTGTTATAAAAAATATTATGCTCGTTTCAACATTTAAAAAATTCCATACCTTTTTCTCATCCCTGTGCCCCATGATGAGCCCGTGGTGATGCCCTCATGAGTGAAAATTTGGAAGAGACACCTTTTAAAAAAGACCCTCGTCCGGCCATAAGAAAAATGTTGTTTTTCACGAATTGTCTCTCTGGCGAGCGAGCTAACGAGTACCCGGTGAGATCCTTTCAACACTAAAATATTTTCCAGGTCTAGGCTGTTTTTTTCGTGAGTCAGTCAAGTGTCAAGTTTGGCAGGAAGCATGTACATGTAATGCGTGGGAACAATCAATTTCATGTAAAATTTCATGGGAAGAAAATTATTGGATTGACCATGGCCAAGAAGTAGCCATCCGGGTGGTTCAGTGGTAGAGACCTCGCCTGCCACGCGGGGGGCCCGGGTTCGATTCCCGGCCAATTCACACTTTTTTTCTTCGTTTCAGATTATTTTAAAAAATTGAAAAAATGCATTGGCCGGGAATCGAACCCGGGCCCCCCGCGTGGCAGGCGAGGATTCTACCACTGAACCACCAATGCTTGGATGGCTTTATGACAAGAGTACTTCCAGAACAAATGAAGCGTTGGTTCCGCCAATCCAGTTTGAGCTAGGAGCTGATCCATTCGCCTGCAATGGATAATGGAGATATATGGGTAAACGTTAGAATGATAACTAAGCAACTTCATAGTGTATGTCATCTTCTCTCTGCCACTGTCTTCTGTTCCTGCTTGACTAGCTGTTGAACTCCACAAATGTGAAAGTGACCTTGCCAATCTCAGCTACTGTTGTTAATTACACCGGTATGCTGGGACACACGACTACCTTCACAACTGATTCTGCTTCGGTGAGTATCTGGGATAGCTTGTCTTACATATGTGGGTCTGTGTGGGAGGGGGGGGGGGGGATTGGTGTGTGCGTGTGTGTGGGGGGGGGGGTACATGCGTGTGTGTGTGGGGGGGGGGGGGTACGTGCGTGTGTGTGTGTTTTTTTTGTGTGTGTATGTGTGTGTGTAAAACATGGATGTGGCAAATGGGATTTAGGCCTTTGGCCTCTGGTTGGTGGATCTGATCTATCCTCCCCCACCGTTTAGGAGCTGCATCTGACGCCTGATCATGGGGTGGTGGCGTCCCACGAAAGCGGAAAGGTGGTTCTTGACCAGGGATTTGTACGACTCTTTGTTCTTGACCTGCCCGGTACGCGAACCCGTCGAATTTTTTTATATTTTTTTATGTGTGTGTGTGTGCGTGTGACTTGTTGAGTGGACATGCCTGTGGGGGGGGGGGGGGGTGTATCTATAACACTTGACCGATCTTACAAACCATACCACTAACCTGCCACTGGGTCGATATCAGAATGGTGCACTGCTCGTTTGAAACATGGTACTGTACCGGAATCACAGCCATTCCGTTCCCCAGAATGCAGAACACAAAGGACAAGACTAGTTGTATAACATCATTACATTGACATGACGGAAACTAGGGACTAAGGCATGACGGAAAAGCAAACTGCTCTCAAAGAGACAAACAAGAAGACTGACAAAAGGACTCTCGGCTACCAAATCGCGCATGCTCATATCACACATGCACGCCACTAGACGGAGACAGTTTGGGGAATGCCATCACAAAGGGAAACAACCATCATTTTACAACAATACTATCACACTACACCTAGCTACCTGTCCATACAGCAGACCCGCAATGCACTCTCCTTGCTAGCATAATGTTGTTGAATGGAGTTCAGGCTGATAAACTGGCAGCGTGCTGCACCAATGTACGGCTGAGTCATTGCAGTTGTGTGTGTGGGGGGGGGGGCACAGCCTACTGTAAGTGTTATTATGCTCAAGACGTTGGCATTGCATTCACCTTCAATGTACTTGACAAGGCCAGGAATTAACAATCCGTGATATTCTACAGCATGGCCATCGTTGAGCCTACAAACTAGGTTTTCTCCTTTGTATGAATCCTGTTTGTCCTGCAGAGGAGAACTGAGTATGCTTTGCCGCAAAAACAAGTATCCGAACCCCTGGACACCATCTTGATCGCCGGCATAGCAGCAGGCTCCACAGTTTTCATCATCGTTATCTTAGTCATTCTTTTCAAGGTAAGAGAAGAGATTAGGGTGTGGTGTCTCCGAATTGCTCTCAAGGAAATCATTCCCATTCTGTTTAGGCTTTGATGTGACTCTTACTGTCGCACACACACACACACACACACACACACACACACACACACACACACACACACACACACCAGGACAATTGGGCTGCATGTGAGCAAGGTGGCATCTGGAACTGTGCATATACTTGAAAGCCTAGGTCACGCACTGGAGTAGATCATTGACGTTTTGTTGGGTCACAACTCATTGCTCGTGGCGGTGCACTGAAGTGCTGCTGTTGACGACACCAATATTGCTGCTGCCGCTGTTGCCGTTTTGCTGCTGTTGTTTTTGTTGCTTTTGATGTTGGTATGCTTGTTGTTGTCTTCATTCCACTTGGAGACCCAGCTGACTATGTACTCAAAAGCGGCGTTCTTGATCCCCTATTGACTTAAATTTACATCTGGGGTACAGGCACGCCGGAACTGGTGCGGTTGGTCAGGTTAACACTGGACCAACTCTGTAGCTACCATTGCATGTTTAATGCTGAGGAGGGCATAATGTCCCCGCCATATTATACACAAAGTATGAGAGACTGAGGTACGACCCGACCCATTGAAAACTGCTGCCGGCTTTTCTGGGGTAGATGATGACGGATGCTACTGCCACTGGCTAGGCTACTAGAAGAGGAGGCCACACACCTTCAAGGAATGACGAAACTGATCGAAACTGGTGGCCATACTATGCACTAAGCAAACGTAATCTGGCCAAGACTTTAGTGATCTGTGCTTCATCATGTTTTGTCCTTTTCCTCGTTTCTTTTTGTTCTCCACCTGTTTTTCAGTAGGGATGTGTCAATAGTAAAAAATAAAAATAATAAAAGGCTGTCTGACACAGGACTGCGACCTCCCAGCTGATATCCTGTTTTTAAATTGCCTCTGCTCAGGGACGTTGCCCAGGCTACGGTCACCACGGTATTGACCGTACCCCTTGTTGTCCCAGGTATACTGTGAATCAATGAAAAGGACCGACGTGGGCTCCAAATTCCGAAACATTTCAGAAGAGCCGCCCACCCTCACGAGTAAATTGTTCGTCAGGTGGTTGACCGTACCACCCAAAAATACCTTCCGACGCCGCTGACTGCTTGTTTTTGTTCTACTTGTGCAGTGTGGCTTCTTTGCCAGGAAGAAGCCCGAGGAGGTGAATATGGACGACATGGTGTGGAGTGGCCCGGCCCTGGCAGTGGACGGTACGGAGGATATAGAAATGCCGGAGAAGGTAGCACTGGCTAGTGGTGAGCAAGACGACGGTAAAGGCGAGGCTGAACCTTCCGACTCTGATTCCGGAAGTTAACTGTTACTCAGGAGAAGAGCAACTCAGCGGAGTGGGTGAACAGAAGTGAGTGAACAACAGGTGCAGCAACAGCGATCCTCTCTGCAGTCATCATTGCATGGCGACAATCCTTGTATTTTCACAACTTTGAGATGTGTGACTTTCTGTGTGTGTGTGTGTGTGTGTGTGTGTGTGCGTGCGTGTGTGCTACAGGTATAGAGAGGTGGTGAGTAGTGTAGCATTCAACACTGTTTCATCTGCTGTGCTACCTTGCCCCTGGCTTTGATACGTATCCTACCCATTCACTTTATTTTCTTGTAAAATTATGCCTGCTTTTCTAACACACACACACATACACGCACGCACACACACACACACACACACACACACACACACACACACACACACACACACACACACACACACACACACACACACACACGTTCGTACTCATGCACACACACACACACACACACACACACACGCGCGCGCGTGTGTGCGCGCACGCACACACATCATGCAATGAACAATACTCCCATTCAGATGCATGCTATCCATGCTATCTACAGACTCGATGCAGTGTTTGTGCAAACTATTGGCATTCAAAGTAAAAGTGGAGAGGCTTTCTGCAGCTTCAAAAACAGTTAAGAGCAGAGCCCACACGCTCGCTTCCATAAAACACTGCAATAATTCAACTCATTTTAAAAATATTACAATGCTTTGGCAAATTGCCTTCATCAGGTTCACAATGATGTGCAAGCTCTCATGTATTGGCATTCGGATAGCGGTATGTACTTCCTGCTACTAGTACCTAGTCTCAATCTTTCCCCTGCTTGCCAGTCAAAGAGTGTTCTGAGAGTCTTACAAGCCTGGGTTTCACAAAGCTCAAGGAATTGTTCCTTGAATTGTTTTACGGTCTCTGGGCTGCGCCAATCACTGAAAGAAAAATATAATAATTATTCGAATTTTCGGGCGACGCCCATCTTTAGGGCCTCAATGCTCAACCATGCATGATAATTACAATAATTATAAATTGCTGTTGTCGCACGTCTTTCCCACTCTCTCCTTTCGCTGCTGAATGTTGCCGTAGCAATGGATAGCCAGCATTTTCTTCTTTCATTTCAAGTTGCTCATTCTTCAATTCTGTTCTATTGTTTCTGGTGGTGTTGGAGGTAGTTCTACTGCTTCTGCTTACTTATAACGTGTGTAGACTACGTTCTAACGTTCTTATAACGTGTGTAGACTACGTTCTAACGTTTCATCTACATGTACATATTCTCTTGAAAAGAAGTTTTAAAGGACTCACCCGGTGCTTCTCAGATCTGTTGAATCGTGTGCCTAGCGACTTCTTGACACATGCCCACCAACACTAAGTCTTCTCCTTGTTTGACCTTCCCCATGTATGCACTAAGTGCAAAATCCATTTCTGACCGATGTAGAATCAGGCTTCGAACCTAAAATATTAATTCGATACTTGTGATTCAGCCTGCTACGCCCCAAGTCTCACCTCCTTTTTCCAAGTGGTGCATTACTTTTTGCAATATTAGCCCTCCACTGTCTGCTATCTCAACCCTACAGCCTCCCATTATAATGGAACTCCCTTCAATTTAGACTACGTCTTTGGGAAATCCATAATAATAATAATAATAATAATAATGTGGAAGAGAAAAGGACATATGGATACGAGTTAAGAGTAACTCTCCATCACTGTAACACGATACTATATACAGTCAGAAAGTGCAATAACTAGGCACAAAACTGACAGAGTACTGAAACATTCGACGTCCTGACACCTAGCTTCAACACATCTCCATAGCGCTAACCGACAGCCTTCCAACTTGGAAGGTTCAAGGTTATGGAAAAGACCAAAGAGGGGAAGGCAAGCGCAACGAAAACGAGCAAAAGCTACAGTCCCAACGGAACAAAGAATGTCGATTGTTACTGGACGATGACGAGACCAGCACGATATTTGACAAAGCGGTCTAACTACAATTCGAAGCAGCAAAGCAGCACACCACCCAACTTGGGTGGGTCATAAATATCAAAGATAAGTAAAGAAAGGGAAGCTTTGCGAAAACGAATTGTACAAGCCGAAAGCCAAACTCCTACCGTACTCCTCATGCATGACATTGTGATGGACTAGTTGACTACAAAACAAGTTGTTTCACACGACGTACGTTTCGCCGTATGGTTCGTGACGGCTCATCAGGTGTGCAATTTGAAACTCGGATGTTGAGCCATAAATAAATGTGGAAGAGAAAAGGACCTTCCAAGTTGGAAGGCTGTCGGTTAGCGCTATGGAGATGTGTTGAAGCTAGGTGTCAGGACGTCGAATGTTTCAGTACTCTGTCAGTTGTGTGCCTAGTTATTGCACTTTCTGACTGTATATAGTATCATGTTACAGTGATGGAGAGTTACTCTTAACTCGTATCCATATGTCCTTTTCTCTTCCACATTTATTTATGGCTCAACATCCGAGTTTCAAATAATAATAATAATAATAATAATAAGGCCACCCAGAATTAATTCGTTGTTTCGGGTCACCCGACCGACCGTCTTTTTTCACCCGACCGCAACTTTTTTTTTTTTTAGTGCATGCAAATGTGCAAGACTAATTGTATACATGTGCACACGCGCCCCCCCCCCCCCCCCCCCCAAAAAGCAGTCCAGACATCGACCTCAGAAGCAGCCAATTGACATTATGCAGCACTTGGTGACGACATTGTCGTCTACATGATTGTACATGTATCTCCAATTCGCAATCGGTCCTGAAACAGCATCAGCTCCGCCACTGCGTCGCTCATTGACAGAAGTTTTCAAGGACTTTTTTGGTAGGTGAGAGCTGCTAGTCAGACTCGTTTGCCAGCGAGGCCAAGATCTGGTCCTGGATCTGATGGGACAATGGCTACGCTGGATCGACTACAGTCAGATTTGATCGACTGGCTTGATGGAGAAAAGCTATTCGATAAGCACAATTGTACATGTATGCACATGCCCGCAACTAAAATAAAAAATAAAATAAAAAATAAACCCGACCGACCGACCCTGGTACGGATGAGTGAAGTGACCCGAAACAACGAATTAATTCTAGGTGGCCTAATAATGATGATAATAGATACATGTACCGTACATCCAGGCCCCATTGTTCCCATAATTATGACCATCCTACTAACTACAGATGGAGAGTGGCAACCATTGAGACTACTGTAGTGTTTCTTGGCCATCCTTTGTGGATCCCTAACGTCTGGATAGATGGGGCACGGACAAGACACGAATGACAGCCCGTTCTTTGTTGTTGTTGTTTTTGTTGTTGTTGTTGTTGAAGTACAATGATAATTGACGTCGCACCACATTCATTCCCATGTTGATGGATGTCTTGCCCCTTTAATTTACCGGTACTAGTATTTCGCATTCCGGGCTGTTCCATGCTGGAGTGGGGCAATGCGATGGATCGCGGCTCTACAGTTGGCCCACGATGGGTCGCAGCTATGATTGTAGAGTCGACCAGTGAATCCCGAGCAAGCTCGTTCCATACCTTCCCGGAGCACTTTCTCTCGTTTATGACTGGTCTTCCGCTCGCGGAGATGCACTCTTTTTGCCTGGGAACGATGGGGTGCAAAGAAGACAAACCAAGGTTTGCACCGTTCAGGATCCACTGATTGCCATGTCGATTCACTAGTTGTACCCTTCGTGGTGATAAGGATTGTTGTAGATCACGCTGAACGCTGCAAGATTGGACAAACGGTGGTCGTTATTATCTTATAAGTATTTGGTTGCTATCTTTCCCGTGAGTAGCATACTGAACGGTATTTGAAGTGCGCCGTGCATTGTATCGTAACCCTGGTCTATGCCTATGGGGTGGGTCGAGCCGGGTGCAGACAAGACAAAAGTCATTCGTAGATCTAACGTTACGCATCCTCGCGTGACGCATTCATGGCAGTTCGCTTCACCATGCGTCAAGCTATCAAGTTAGTTAGAAAATTGATCTTTTCAATGAGACACAAGCTCGTCATGCACGCCGTCATGAGAGACATCGATGGCAGAGGTGTGACTTGCAGCTGAGCGGGACAGAATTAGAGCATTGGACTAAACGAAACTGTATCTCTCTAGTTTTGCCGTTTCATTCAGGCTCTTCATTGTGCTGCATGGGCTGTGTGGGGAAAAGACAAGACAAAGAAGTATTTGCCAAGGCATGGTTCGAACTCACACCCACCGAAACTGCTCGTTTAGCAGGGACATTAATTTTTATTGAACCCAGGGACTCATCCTTGAGTCTCCTGCTTCCTGCATACGATTAGTTCGGGTGGAATGGCTGTCACACTGACCATGTGCAAGCCGAGTCACACACTAGCGATTTCCTGCGCATAATCCCTGCAAGTGCTTGGCCTCGACACCACAATGACATCCTCCAAATTGATGATACGGATTCTGGAGCTGATAATCACCGGCCTTTTTCCCATGGACAGACATTCCCTGACGACTGAGCAAGTTGCATGGCGTACATCGACAACAAAAATCTTGACCACTCGCGACCAAGGCTCGATAATGAGTACTGAGTATTCCCGCACCCTCGCCTCACTTCAAAGTCCAAACACGGCACCTGCATGCTAACAGGTAGAGCCTGTGTGTTCTCTGTCCCGGACGAGACGCAGAGTCACGCAGTCGTGATTCAGTTCAGCATGAGAACATTTTAGGAATACCGCAAATGAGGATTATCACCACATAGCAGTGTGCAAACGGAACACAACGTAAAGAAAAGGCTTATTCGTTTCTATCTCAGAGCTTCATGGCTAGACAGCCAAACACCAGACAGCAGTAAAGGAGATTTAAAGCAGCGCTGGTATATACACGTAGGTAAGCAGAGGAGATTGCAGTGAGTGCCAATTGAAAAGGGTGCTTATAGTGCTAGTACATGTAAACGACTGAGTAGTTCATGAATCAGCACCTCTGCGTGCCACATGTAGGTGCATATTGCATGAACAGCGACAATCAAGGGATAAACACACACACGCAAATGCACACAGACACCTGTACAGCTCTGCACGATCATACACTAACATCCTTAGACACACTCGCCCTTTCCCTTCGGCAATACTGTTAGTGCCGAAGGTAAGGTCGATTTCACATTCTCCGTTGACAGTGCATGATCGAAGCAAAGCGAAATATCACACTCGCAATCTGCAAGGATTCAAGCCGTGACGACCATTGATAAATTCCTGCGTTGACTCTGAGCACTGTAGAGAAAGTAGCCCGCCCTCAATAATGACAAAAACGGCATGGTCTCGATCCGCCTCGCACCTACTGCGATCCTTCTGACGTGGCTCTCATTCATTTTCCTTGCAGCACGAGCTGCTGACTTTGAAAACACAAAACCATGAAAACTGCGACCTTTACTGGAGACACACGTGATGGTAGTAAGCCATGGTTGTGAGAATATACACCATGCACTCGAACTTCATTGTATCACGTGTTGCCTTTCTATTCTAGTCGCTTGGTGATCATGCACAAAACATTTTAGAAGTGTGCATGACTTGTACTTCACGAGATTATGATGACCAAGTGTGGTTCGCTGGCCATCGTGCTATGCAGATAACATGGGTCCGAATGGGACGGAATGGTGAAACGGTGGCCGGAAAAGCGGCACACTGTTCGCGCAGCAGCTGCGCAGTAACACGACTGGTTAATAATATTATGACGGTTGCCACTCGTGTGAGTGTCTGGGTTATTTCACACGTTTTCAAAAGCGCACGCACTTGAACAGCGTCTCTCTGTGATGCGTGTCTCAGGTCGAACTCAGCTCAGACCGACTGGGGTCGGCCAGGGATGGAATGAAGAAGTCGTGCCCGGAAAACGGAGGCCGCCGATGTGCTGATATCATTTTCACGTGCTCTGGGTGACAGCATGTCTGCCCAGCACGTCGCGCCCTGTGATTGCTCCACCCTAGGCCCTGTGTTCTGTGCAGTGTGTGTGACACGTTGACACGTTATCTGTGACAGATCGCACTGCACTGCCTGACCTGTCAAGCTACACAAGCTTGCAAGGCGCAGTCTCAGTGCTACTGGAGAACTGGTGAACGTGAGCAAACCTGCGTTATGCTCCACGCCGGTAGTCCGTAGTACACAACAGATACGACCGTAAGCATGGCAATGCGCAGAGATAAAACATGTCACGAGGAACGAAGGTGGAATACTGACATACACAGGTAGAGAATATACAGACAGAAGAATGAGCAGTTGCGGTTTCGTACCTCTGAGTTTCACGAACTAGCGAGGTAGCGAATATAGAATACACGTAGACACAACAATGAGTCAAAGTAAGTTGTGCCGACATCGTGTTGTATGAGTCCACGAAGGACAAAGCATGCTATAGCGCTAGCACACGGTGTTCCAGACTGAGTATTGGTCCATGAACAAGTTACATCATTACATGTATCTATTCAACACAATCTCTGGTCTTGACACATAACCGCTATGATGTCAACCCAAATAATAATTATTAGCACTAGCCAAGGTTCAGTTCGCTGTGTAATGTGTGTATGCTGTCCTTGCTTTTTCCTCCATGTACAATGAACTGAGTTGAACAGTGTGCATTGTATACTTGGATGTACTGTGTATACAACGTACGCACTTCTCAATACTCACTCTCACAGTCTCAGCCAGGACATACGTTTTGACGGACCGAGGCTATGACGACGCGAACATGGATAGGTACTGGGTGTTGCTCGGAACAGCAGCAGTCTGGTAAGGTGCACGGAGCAGTCTGGTAAGGCGCACGCTTCTGATCTCCACACAAAAAACCTCAGCGCGAGCGACCGTGTCTGCCCTGTCCTTGGTGTATCACGAACTCCACGTCTTTTCATTCATTCCTCATCAGACTAAGGGAGTATGCATACGTGTATACGTGGCCCAGTACTCGACGCTCGAGTGCAGCATCGTGTGTTAGTCATTCATGCTTCAGTGGACCCAGTGGGTCGATGGCAGAAACGATGACGATCGAAATCATCATGACATCAGAGAAACACCCCATAATCATGAGCTGATCTAGAATCAGCGATCACCTGCCGGCCTGGTCTCTAAAACCACTATTCTTTGCCGGCTTTATATTAAAACCACGCGCGTTCAAAGAAGACTGCGCAATGCTCGTACCCTTGGACCGCCGCGGAAATTGCATGTCAGCAGTATGTTCCTGCAAGCAAGGTTATCGATTCCAGCAATCCCGTCAGAAGAAGGTTTTATCAGGTCAGAGTGGACGCGTCGTAATCAATGTATAGACCAATGTATGAAAGGTTCCTATTATCGTTCTTCGCATGTATTTCCTCCATAGCTCTTTCTTTGACCATGACCAGTTTCTAAGAACTCTCCAACTCCACTGCCAACGTTTTCGTTTCGCGATTTTCTCCTCTCATTTTTGCAACAAATTCATGTTAATGTCTTAGTGGAATTTCGAAGCAGGCGATAATTATTGTTCACTGCGATTCTTATATCAATATACATGACAATTGCACAGGTCACTAGTCCTACAGTGCTCGATGTGTCGACATACATGTACACGGCATGCGGAAGAGAACCAGCTGCTGATATGGTGGTCAATGTGCATGCATCCTCTCGAGGCTGCTGGCATTGCTTGATCTATCCAACAGCTGATACGCCTGATATACATCACTGATAGCCAACACTGTATTCCCCATGGTGCCAACCATTTCATCGGACTATTGGTAGGACAAATGTGCAATGCACACCGCCAGAATGGCATACGAACTGCTGCTAGAATGCCAGATGTTGTCACCAATGCCTATGACCAAACGGTGTACACGTCGACAGACGGCAACTCCACCCATATTCGGTGCAGCATCATGCGAGATAAAAGTGAGACGTATTTGCAGATGGTACATCCGACTCATTGGAGTGTCGACTGCACCGCATGACGATGTGCTTCAGAAGAATCATACCCTTGCTGCACCAGTGGTGCTTGTAGTACATGTAAATAATAATCGTATGCTACACCGTATTAGTATTATTACACATGTACTTGTATTTGTATCTATTTTACATCGTTATCAAACGGGCATGGCTGCTCAGTAGATCCACAGTAGTAACAGAAAGGAGCAGCGCGCTTGATGCGGGCCTGACCTGGCTAGTAGTAGTACTAGATTGGTAACACACTGGCTTGTCAGTGGACGAAACAATCCATGTACCGTTTACATGTACGACGTAACGTACACATGGCCCAATATCAGGTATGTTGACAATGGCCAGTTACACCATAGTTCTTTTCATTCATCTCACATGTCACCCCATTGCGTGCCTACCTGTCAGCACACATGCAGACGGGAGTCTATTTAGTCGCTGAGAACCATTGGTTTAACGCTCGCTAGTTGACAGGCCTGTCAAGGAAGACGGAAAACTGTGGTAGCGAACATGTCATTGCCCTCTCGTGAGCCTGGCCTATTAGCCAGCCCCCGATCCAATTCAGTTTTCCTGGTTTTATCCTGATCTATCCCACTTCTCTGCAAGCACAACCTCCAATCGTTCCTTAGCAGCAACCAGAGGAGCACAACTTCTTCTACCTGCTTCGATTTCTTGAAAAGAGAAAAATGGAGTCCTGCCGAAGATCACTTGTCGATTGTCGAGCTGAGGGCCACTTCATTAGAACTCGAGAAAGACCAACAGTCGTTATGGCGTGCGCCCATGTGTCAACACCGGATTCGGCAGCTTGGAGTCCACGTCATGAAAGCGCTGAGTTTTCCTCCAGTGGTAGTGAGGAGGAGGAGGATGAATCCATTGAGCTCACGATGAGAAAGACACGGCAGCGATTGCTACGCAGCCAGCAGACCAGCAGCCTAGCTCCATTCAAACCCAACTCCTCATCTTTGGTCCTAGGAGGAACACGTAAGAAGATGCGGGAGTTTCTCGGTGTGCTGTTAGACTTGGACGAAGTGGAGGGCCTGAGCTGGCTCGACAAGGCGACCAAAACTTTCAGGATGCCATGGAGGCACGCTACGAAGAAGGGCAATGGCTATTCGGCGGAGCGCGACACGAAACTGACCATGCTTTGGGCGCTGAACACTCAGAAGTACAATCCAGACACGCAGCCCGCAGAGCCCAGCCGCTGGAAGACCAACTTTCGCTGCGCCCTCAACAGTCTCAAGCACAGCATCGTGGAGGTGGAGAACCACGAACATACGCGTGGATACAAGATCTATAGGTAAGCGGCTGGATGTTGTGCAAGTAGCAGAATACAGATGGAGCTAATGGGGTTTCTCGGCACTTGTGCCAGTGGTTGTGAGACACAGTCATTCACTCGCCCCCCACCGTTAGGCGCTGCATCTGCCGCTAGGGTTTACCGTGTGTTAACGGCCGTCGTGAGTTCCCTCCGGGAACGGACACGACAACTTACTTACTTATTTACTTGACAGAAAACCTGTGATTGTATAATCATTGCTTATGGTGGCCGGGAGCGGGCAGCGGGGACACAATACTAGTGAATAACTGACTTGGAGCCAAGCAGACCTTGCAAAATAATGACTTCCTCCACCCTATAGGATCAAGTGTTTTCACCTCACATGTCATACTACTCACTCTTACTTTGTGTATTCTGAGATACGTGCATCAATGAATGGAGTCTTTCATTACATGTTGTCAACATCAATAATGAATAATGACTATTCGTGTTGCCGATGAACAGAGCGCCTTGAGTGTACCTGGAATCATCCCGGACATCTAGGTCATGCTAGAAGAACATAACATAATTCTATTTTAGGGTGTCACCGGAAAACGTAGCCTAAGGATGACTCCTTTCTTTCTTCCTATTCTCTTTCTGTAGGTTTGTGGATTCTCGCCGGGGCCGTGGTCGTGGATGCCAGCTCGGAGGTACGCGTGGCTCACCTCCCGGTGGCGTTGTGGGCCACAGTGGCACCATCCCAGGTGACGTCACACTCGTAGAAGATAGCGCCGACAGAACTATGGCTACAACGCCACTATCGCCAAGCCAGCACAAACACCATCGCCAGATCCAGAGCCACGCAGCAGCGCAAAGGTCGCACGCGAATGCCGCCGCTATACCTAGCCACCGGTCCAGTATCGCGGAGTCAACATCTGCACTAACACCAACAACAGCGGCAACCACGCCTCGCTCCACCATCAAGGACATGCTGCCGGGCGAGTCCCGGTCCTTGTCTACCGCTAGCATCTTCACGATGGCCAGCGACCTCTCAGCTACAATGCCCACACCAGGTAAGTGGTGACCGTGCTCAATTCTCCCTTCGATTCTCAAATCTGCACCAACACCTACACTCTTCCAGATTGCCCAATGTACATGCACATTGTATCAGCAGATGCCCCGGTTCATACCTGTGGTGTCGGAATAACGATAATGCTTCTACACTGTATAGCCGTGTAGGTCTACCGGTTCGTAAAGTGAAAAAGAGCCTATCATCTGCACGTCTACGTGTAGTGCCATTAGTTCTGGACAAACCTGACACGTCATAATCAGCACGAAAACGGCTATGGTAGAAATGCTATAGGAGCGCCTGGAACTAACTTGAGATCTTGTTCGGGTGTTAACGGCTTGCGAATACAGCGTAGTAAACTTTAGAGAATAGACCCAGCAATGGCTATAGGTAGAGTGTCGACGTTGCCTTCTAATTATGGTCTGGGCTGTGTGGTGTTGTCTATTTTCCAGACACTTCGGACTCCTTTCCGCAGCTACTGGACGACTTTAACGACGGCGACTTCGCCTGGGGTGAACACGGCTCTGGAATTCTAACACCGCAGGTATGTTGACCAATCAGCGATGTATTTGTATTTTTGTATTTATGGAGATTCTCCACAGGCCTTAGCCTAAATCGAGGGAGTCTCCGTCAACAGCTTTAATAAAATATGCAGAAGAAGAAGAAGCTGGAGAGAAAAAAAGAAAGAAAAAAGGTAGAACAATGGGGGGGGGGGTGGTAGTAATCTAACACAGCGCTCTATGACTTCGCTACACTACGTCGAATGAAACCATGTACAACAATAGCAGTGTTCAATGTTATGTGACCCGTATTGGGGGGGGGGGGGGGCTAATTGCCATGCTCAATGCGATCAGTCGCAGCCAACGAAAACGATACAATGGACTTTGAAGTGGATACAGAATTATCACCACAGTTCATCCTTCGAACCTGACGCATTGCTTTGTTCGTTGCATAACTAACTGTATCTGTCCCCTTTGCATGCGTGCGGGTGTGTATTCCTCCAGGATTCAGCCCTGCAGCTCAACAGCGACTTCCTGTCCGACATGAGTCCACCGAGCTTCGACGGCACGTCCACGACGACTGCGGACACCCTGACAGCACCTGCTGGCATGGACCCGATGCTGAGCCTCCCGTCGATGATGTCATCATACACTGCACCACTGACAAGTGAGTTGTCAACATGGGTGCTGGTGCTAGTATGGTTGTCAACTGAAATCCGACCCCTGGGCGGTGCGTTCACATTCTAGCGGTCTCTTTTTCGTAGTGAACAATCCTGCGTTGGGTCTTTGCGATGTGAGCGCAACGCTCAGGGGGTCGGATTTCAGTTGCCAGCACTGTAGTATGGTTGACCGAGTCTACGCATGTCTGAACACTAGTGTACATACTGTGCTGGCACACACCATGGTCTACGCAATGCTAAGCGTACATGTACTGTGATATGAACACTAGCATACGAATGAACCATTAATTTTTTCCTTGTCAACTTCATTCAAAGAGGAATGAGTTATTCACATTCATGATGGATAAGGGTAACTGTGGCCTATCTTTTGTGAGGGAGTCTGCTTGGATGAGGTGAGAGGTGAGCGACTCTCGCTCTCTTCGCAGTCTCTCTCTCTCCATCTCTCTCTCTCTCTCTCTCTCTCTCTCTCTCTCTCTCTCTCTCTCTCTCTCTCTCTCTCTCTCTCGCGTTCTGCTAAAATCTGTGCAGTCTGTGTTAAGTATAGTGGCGCTATTCGGCTGACACATTCTGTCTCTTCCATTGTATTATTTGCTGCAGCCTCTGGCCAGACAACTGCTACTGATGACTACCACACATTCAACGACACTTTCCAGTCACAGCATGCATTTCAGCGGAATCCAGTCGCCACACCAGCGCCTGGCGTTACCTCAACCCAACAGCAGCAGCAGAGAAAACATAACACGGACAAAGACCTGTACGTTAGCATCAACTATCGTCAGAATACGGTGGCGGGATGCGAGGTGGGCGTGCACGGCTGCAGGCTATTCTCTGGCGCGCTGCCGCATCTGCACCAGCGCCTGTCTCACGACGAGTACACGCGCCTCTACGGCGGCTGCAAGATGCAGCAACTGGCGCTTCCGTCGCCCATGACGTCACAGCGCTGCCTGCAATCGCTCCAGCTGCTGCTGGGTGATGGGGGAAAGCCCGGACTAATGGCACGCGGACTGTGCATAGAGGTAAGCGACCGCGCAGCAGAGGCACAGCATGTTCGTCCTACTCCTAGATAGTGTTAGGTATGTTGTGGTCGGTGTTCTGGGTTTCCCATGGCCCCAGAATGAAACAAGAAGTGAAGAACTGATCCACTTGAACTAGGATACCTGCTGACTTCATTATTAAAGTTTATTTATGGTAACTATGCTCTCTGTATCTCCCTCTTTGTCTTCCAGGTTGAGAACGACAATATCTACGCCACTCGCCTGTGCCGGCCGCAGGTGTTCTGGGGCTGTTCACAGAATTGCAACGGCGCCTCGCTGCCGCGCGGCGAGCGTACCTGCATCTTCGACTTCAAGCTGTTCAAAAACGTCCTAGAAAGCTATCGCCAGAATACTAGGTATTAAGTGTGAGAAGCCATGGCTATGTTAGTTGTACAGTGAAACCTGCCTATGACGACCCCTCAAGGGACCTTCAAAACCCGGTCTCTGTTACCAGGTAGTCTCCTAATCCAGGGTCATTTGACTGGAAATAGCATTCTTTGGTGCTAGTTTCAGTGGTCTGCTAGGACAGATGGTCGCCTTATCCAAGTGGTCGCCTTGACAGGTTTCACTGTACATGTGTATTGGTCTATCGGATGCAGTCTGGAGACATACCATAGACGGTTTCTACATGTACGTAGGTCAGCAGAAGTCCACCTTGCCGCGGTATCTCCGATGCCAGTGTCTTTGAAGCGAAATTGTGTGTGCATGGCGTACTGTACATCGTGCATCTTCTGCAGTCTTGGCCACACTCTTGGGCCAGAAGAATTGCGTCATGAAAAGGAGAATAGACAGCTTTAAACGATACCATGATTTTCATTGAGCAAGCTTGCAATAGGTTACGTTGTTCTATACATGAAACATACTGAAGTACAGTAAAACCTGGTTTAAGCGACCACCCCACGGTGCAAGCAAAAGCGGTCGTTAAAGCCAGGTCGTCTTTAGAACCAGGTTCCACAGTATCTGTGTAGAACTGTCCGTACATGTACATGGAAAAACGGACGTTAAGAGCAGGTGGTCGCTAAAACGATAGGTCGCTTACACCAGGTTTTACTGTTGTCGCGATTGTAAGCCATGATCATCTTTCGAGCATAGGCCATGCATAGATAATAATTATACATGTCACGTATAGCGTAGTCTGTGCCAAATGTGCACACGGTACTGATGCCAATGGTAATGCTGGTAATGGTATACTAATGGTGCTGTGCATCTGTTTGCTCCCACCGTGCAGACTGTCAGCATCCATTGCCTCACAGCCACCACCTCATCACGTACAGCTTGGCATAGGTCAGCCGTGGGGTACACATGTACAGCGTCTGCCCATGAACAACCTGCTCACCGCCAGCATCACACACCTCAAAGCAGAGCGTCTTATCGAGCAGCTACACGCCGACAAGTGGCTGGCCGGGCAGCCGCTGAACACCGACCATCTCATCGTCGACGAGCCCATGCAGGACGATGACCTAGCACAGTCACTGTTCACTCTGCCATAGCACTGCCGTCGCCACGCCAGAGCAGACGTGATCGCCATCACACGTCTGGTACTGCACGCATCCGCTCTCATCAGCCAGAGATCAAAGACTGGCAGAGATCTACTGTACGTAGTGGAGATGTCCAGTCTTTCAGTCCATGATGACGAACCTTTTTTCAGAGAGTGCCGCGCACAGACGTTTTGTTCTGTCTCCTCCATGCATGAGATATTTTGCTAACGTACAGTTGATAGCGGTAGTGCAAATATGGGGAAAGCACACGCTACATTAAAATTAATAATTATAATCATCTTGTTTTCCTTGCTTAGTATCCGCAACAAATAGTCATGGTAGGTCTTGATGTCCTACTTCGTTAGTCAAATGATTGCGCTGGCTGAACCTTTCATTTTCACGTATGTAGAATTATCGCCTAATCGAGTGTATAGTGAACACTAAACTACGACCCGACTTATGCTCCAGTACCTTCTATTTTTGACCATAATAATCTCAAAGCTACATCCACTCAAAATATTCTTGTTTTTTCTCTTATTGGAAAGGTGAGCATCCTCATGTTATTGATAACTTTTACTGATCGAATTCACTCTTCTTGGAAAACAAAGTTTTGAGTTACTTAGACTCATGAATTTCTATGTACCTGTGGTGGAATGTGGAGAGGTACTGCATTGTACTAAAATTCCAAAAGTTGGAAGGATCCAATATTAGTATACTTTAGGACATTCAACAGCAAAATTTTGAACGCTATCCACGAGTACACCTTCCGGCTTTCTCTTCAGATGGAATACAGGCAAGAGCAAAGGAACAAGGAACATGATTCAATGACTACGTTCAGTCGAGAAGTGATAGAACAGAGCAAAGAAGAAAAGCTCCAACAACAATGATAAAATATCGGGGCCCGTTCACAGAGAGAACTTGATGACAAAAAGGCTCTTCAAGTGTGAGGAAAACTAACAACTAGTAACAAGCGTGAAAGTGCACTGTGACAACAACACGCAACCAATGGGCGTATCTACAAATTTTCTAATGATTAAGGTGTGGACCTAATCTGCTTCCGTCTAAAACAATAATTATTATGATCATGGTTGGCTTGAGACTCAGTTACACCTTATAGTAAGTTTAAGTTTTCAGCATCCATAGGAACTCCACCACCCTGCAAGGATCAAGGCGCAGATGCAGCTCCTAAAGGGGTGGGAGGTGAGTAGATCAGCTCACCAGCAAAGTGCTTTCGGTTTACATAGGTCAGGATTCCTTGTGTGAATGTATACATCTTCAAAAACATTCAACAACTTAGCGCTGTGTTACATGTGACCAAATGCTCGTAGAAAAGGCAAGCATCTGAATACTGTACACAGCACGACATTCAGGATGCTTCAACAAATCGCTGGCAATGGATGGCTCACACTTTCAAACCCACTGAAGTATCATCAAGACAACCAGTACCGGTATCTGCAAGTCCGGACTGAATTGATTACCAGACGAAACTGATTTGGTGGTTATGATATTGGTTTAAAGAGAGGATTAACGCTGTTCTGCTAGTAGGTGGCGATAGACACACAAACACAAGTACATGATTGTATTGTAATCCCACCACAGCATGAAACTTTTTAAAGGTAGCCACAAACAAGCCTTGATTGGCCTTGTTGTTCTGTAATCCGACCCCGGCAACTCAAGTTCGTCGAAATGATTATGCCGGTAAAGTAACAACAGCTCCTCTTCAGGAAGAGCCACAGTTTGTGTAACGTCGCCGATATCTTTAGGCTAATGCCATGGTGAAAAGAATTCGGGTGGACACACCCATTCCCATAGCGCTGCATATCACATCCGAACCAGTTCCGTTATTTTACAACGTTTCGGCACTTGGCCATCATCAGGTAATAACAATGAAGCCATGGTGTGGGCATTATCTCAGAAATTTTGGCAGTGAGTTGTGATCAGCCTGCGGTATCACTGGCATCAAATAATTATTTTCATGTGACTCCCTGGCTTCGATGCGTTGTTTTCTGGCTTTGCTACTCCATCCTTCCCCGGAGAAGACGCTCGGCGAACACCCGAGAGAATCAAGGTCACATCAACTGCACGATCATTACCTACAACTTACAAGTACAAGCTAGCCAGTCGCGACAAACCGCGCCAGTTGCGGTTCGCCACGGGTCTCAATGAGCAGCACATGGCCAGTGGCAGTGGATGGGTGAGCCCGGTGACCCGGTCAGGTGGGTCGTCATGCGGACATGCGACACCCAAGGCCAAACCAAGGCAAAGGCGAACCGGCTTCCTTCCCCTTTTCGAGTTTGAAAACGAGCAAGACTACGAGCTTTTTTGTAGTTTGTGTCCTATGATCATGATGATGGTAGTATGGGGAGTTATAAAAACCTTGAAGCTTGTTTCCAGATTGTATCATTGCAAGGTAGACTAGCCCAGCCCAAATTCACGACTCGGGCCGAGCGGGCTGAGACCACCAGCTAGCACAGCACGAAGCTTTCCTGCGACTGAGCGAGTGACAGGTCCCAGCGAAGCAAAGAGTTTCGAAAGTCCCATCGCGGGACTGCGCGAGTGTATGACTCGTTAGACGGCTGACTTTCGAAACCTAACGTGACGTCAAGGCTACAATGATGGTCGACAATGGAGCAGGCCCGGTGGGTGGACGAAATCTAGATACAATTTGCTACGGCTGTCAGGCGCCGCAGCCTGGATTGCTAGTTGCCCATCACGGAAAACCATCGCTCCGCACGGAGCCCCCAGTGGTGAGCCTTTTTCCTGGATTGAACTGCGTGGAAAATCCCGGCTGATTGGTCAGGTTCTAACACTGCAGTCGCGTCGGCAGTCGACGCTCGAAGAGCTTGCACACGAGTCGCGGAATTGCCGCCCGGGGGATGAGAGAAGAATGGGCGAATGAGGTGATTGAATGCAACGACGCACGGAGCCTAGCCAGACCGACAGGTGCCCCAAAACCAGCACCAGCAGCAGCACTACGCTAGGACAATGAGTCGTAATTAGGTAAAAATTTGTATCAGTGACACCTGTGATGTAGCCACGCTCTGAAAGAGCTATCATTGCGTGCGGACCGGTGCCATATTTGCTGGACGAAATGGAAAGACGAGCAAGATCTCGAGGCAGCGTGTTCGCGCCAAGAACCACAGCAATCGTGTCCCAATGTGCCTTCACGAACAGCAGCAGCAAAGCTCTCCTTACCATGCACTTCACAAGACTTTGAGGATGGCGAGGAGGCAGAAGCTGAAAGACTTCCTCCGGGCCCACCTGAACGACGGGGATGTCCCCGGCCTGGAGTGGATCGACAGAGCAAGCGAAACGTTTAAGATTCCTTGGAAGCATGCCAACCGGCGAGGGAACAACTTCGACGTGGACAGGGACACGTTGCTGCCTCGACTCTGGGCCATAAACACGATGAAGTTCGACCCGGACAACGACAAAGCAGATCCGACGCGCTGGAAGACCAACTTGCGCTGCTCGTTGAACAGCTTGAAGACAAGCATTGTCCGCAAAGAATCCACCGACCACCATCTTGTCTACCAGTTCATTAATAACGACTACGCCGGACGAGGTAAAAGACACGCGGTCGAACCGCTTGCCCACAATCCAACACCGACGAGCTCGAGGAATTTATCGCTGGACGAAAGGCCCGTTGATATGATGGAGTTGTTTCCAAGTGCGCTCGGAGCAGCACAGCCTAGCAGTGCGGGCGTTTCGAGTAGCGTCCGCACGACAGCCACGCCCCAAGAGGATTTCAACCAGTCTCTCTCTGCTGCCTCCTTCCCTGCTCCCGGTAAGGTCCCCGATGCCCAACCAAACTATTACCAGGTTGTACTGAACTCGATTTGATGTATTTCTAGTCAATGTCTGCATGCTAACTGTTATGCAGTCGCGGGGTACGGGCTGGTCAGTGTATGAAGATTTACGTGCAAGTGCCGGGCTCCATGGGGCGTCTCCAACATTCTTCGAGGGAATTGGAGGATTGAGAAAATGGCTTGAAAATACGCTATGCAGTGTTGAGGTTAGATACAGGGTTGAGTGTTTGCATCAAAGAAGTAGCGATGACTGTCGGATTCTATGATGAATCGGTTATTGTGGCCCAGTATCTTTTTTTCCTCAGGCAAGGATGCATGAACCTAACATTGGACTGAGTGGGGGACAGGCAGGGGCAGTGTGTTTCAGTGATAGCATGTACAGGTGACCTGCTGACACTGAGATCGGTTTATACTAATACTCCTCATAGCTGATAAAACAGAGAGGTTCCAGGCTGTCCAAGAGAGTGCTCAATACCGAGTGGTAGAGGTAGTTCAAACAATAGGAGGACAGAGAAAGTGTTTTTACTCCGAGTTTCACGCACTAAGCGACTGTTTTCTGATGATCGTTTAGTGCGTGAAAATCGGAGTAAAAACACTTTCTCTGTCCTCCTATTGTTTGCTCCTCATAGCTAAAGTTTTCCCTTGTTTGTGTCCAACACTAACAATAACAACATTATTATAAGCAAGATACTGGTGAGTTGTAAGGTAATTGTTAGTTATTCACTGTAATTCACGCCGGTGCCCTTCAATGGGGTTCCGGGGGCCTTCCCCCGTGAAAAATTTCCGAAAATGAAGCAAAATCCTGCATTTTGAGCGAAGAAAAGGGGGGTTCCGGGCACCCAGGAACCCATACGGGGCACGCGCCTGGACATAAACAACTGACAACTTCTAAACCTTTGGTCCTCTCTTCTTCATTTTAACACTTGTCATGGCTCTTAGAAAAAACTTCAAACAATGTGTCTTGGTAAGACCTGATAAAAAGAAATGAAGACGATGCTAATCTTGCAGCATAGACAGCAGTTTTCCTGGAAAGAAACTTCTGGTTCCTATTTTCTTTGGCTGGGGCTGAGTGGAGTGATTGTCTATTGGTGAAACCAAGCCGAGTGTGAATAGTCCTTGCATGTAGGAACTTCAAGAGCACGTTAGAGTCATCCACGCACACATACAGAAAAACATGTCGAGGTGGCCGCTCGGACAAGGCAACTACCTGCACCAGAGGACCACTGCAATTAGGACCAAGTGATGCTATTTCCAGTCAAATGACCTTTGAGAAGGAGACCACCTGTACAAGGAGACCGCATTTTTGAAGGTCCCTGGTGTAGCGGTAGCTACTTAGAGTAGTTTCGCCTGACTGTTTATTGCAAAAGGGGGAACATTATCATGATTATCGGACACGGAAAAGCACAACTAACTGTAAGGAGAGCAGAAACGAAGAGGTGATTCCAATCGGGACTCACTGTGTAAAGAAGACAGAGAGCGGAATGGACGGCGGTGCTGCGTGCACACAGCAGCGACCGGAAGCAGCGTGCCCAGTACGGGTTGCCATGTATAGATGGAGCCCGAGGGCAGTGCACTCAGACATGAATACGCACGCGCACCCGAGTACTGCATTCAGTGCATGCGGGGACTGTGCCATAGAAGAGGAAGGGTTAGTGATGCGCAGCCAGCAAGTCCAGCGGTAGGAAAGAGTTGCAGGCCCAGACAATGCTATGCCCAGGGATAGAGTTCTGTCATGATGTTACTTATTACACCACATCTCCCCTAACGGAAAGAGTTGCAGGTCCATGTTCACATTGTCGAGATGAGCCGCTCCGGTGCAATGGCTGTGCGACCTGAACAGGTAGTGGAGGTGGCACTTGTGTTGGGCTCGGCGGCAGCAGGCATGCCGTTTTGGCTCGCCACAGGAGTTTCTCCACCGCTTGGTGGCTTCGGGCTGCGGCGGGAGTAGCCGTGAGGTGTTGCAGTGAGCCGTTGCAGTAAGCTGTTGCAGTCAGCCGTTGCAGTAAGCCGTTGCAGTAAGCCGTTGCAGTGAGCCGTTGCAGTGAGCCGTTGCAGTGGGCCGTTGCAGTGAGCCGTTGCAGTAAGCCGTTGCAGGTTGCAGTAAGCCGTTGCAGTAAGCCGTTGCAGTAAGCCGTTGCAGTAAGCTGTTGCAGTGAGCCGTTACAGTAAGCGGTTGCAGTGAGCTGTTGCAGTGAGCCGTTGCAGTGAGCTGTTGCAGTAAGCCGTTGCAGTAAGCTGTTGCAGTAAGCCGTTGCAGTGGGCCGTTGCAGTGCAGTAAGCCGTTGCAGTTTGCAGTAAGCCGTTGCAGTAAGCCGTTGCAGTAAGCTGTTGCAGTGAGCCGTTGCAGTGAGCTGTTGCAGTAAGCTGTTGCAGTAAGCTGTTGCAGTAAGCCGTTGCAGTGGGCCGTTGCAGTGAGCCGTTGCAGTACGCCGTTGCAGTAAGCCGTTGCAGTAAGCCGTTGCAGTAAGCCGTTGCAGTAAGCCGTTGCAGTAAGCCGTTGCAGTGGGCCGTTGCAGTGAGCCGTTGCAGTACGCCGTTGCAGTAAGCCGTTGCAGTAAGCCGTTGCAGTAAGCTGTTGCAGTGAGCCGTTGCAGTGAGCTGTTGGCTTGCAGTGGTGTGTCGTGAAGCGATCGCGGATGCGGCCATCGCGAGCGTCCTTGAAGTCGCCGTTGTCCGCGCCGCCGTAGAGACGATGCAGAAGTGACTCGTCCGCGGTCTCGGATGGCGACTGTGTGTCGCGTTCGAACATCGTTCGTCCGTGGACGACGTTGGACACGGGCGTGACGTATGCCGAGAGTTTCGTCTCCACTTCCTGAGATTTATCGCGATCGCCGGCGTTGTCGAACGCGAGCCATCCTAGATCCTGAAGTTGCAGACCAGGTTCGTTGCGGATCAATGTTATTTTGTTATCACTGATCCTGTTCACTGCGCCATGTAGCGGTTGCTACTTAGAGTAGTTTCGCCTGACTGTTTATTGCAAAAGGGGGAACATTATCGGTAGGAAAGAGTTGCAGGCCCAGACAATGCTATGCCCAGGGATAGAGTTCTGTCATGATGTTACTTATTACACCACACCTGGAGCTGTCGCCTTGGACAGGTTTCAACTTTGACTGTAGTGCCATTCATTCAAGGTGTGTGCCAATTTTGCGTCACTTGTCTTGTCTTCCCTTATCGGTCTGTGTCATCTGCAGCAACCGCACCCATGGACGGTCTGTCCTTGTCGGCTGCTGAAATCGATGCACTTCAGCTTGGCCTTCCAGCAGGCTTTCGAGAAAGTGACTTATCTCAACAGCTAACAGTAAGTCTGTCTTCGAAGCCAGTTGGAAGGGAGAGAATGAGAGATAGTTGGGGCGAGGGGAGAGAGTGGGTAAGGACGACAAGGAGGAGGTAAGCATGGCCGGCCCAAAGCTGCACTCACATGGAACAAGTGATCCCCAATACCGTACGCCCTTTGATCAAATCAATCGTGAACTACCTTTGCCCCTACCCTTTTTCACCTTGATCAGTATCAAGTGAACTTTTCAAAAGACAACATTCTAGAATGGCTGAGGTTCTGTAAACCGACCTTGTGTAAACTCAGTCGTTCGCTCTTCGGCTTCAAATTCATTGTTGCCATTTGAGAACATGAAGACTAAGTGAGAGGCAAAATTGAGGTTGACCAGCGTGCCTGCGCTAATCTTGTGATTTGCTTTTGATGTACATGTACATGTTAACCAAACAAAGCCTGCATGATCTGACTAACTTACAATGTTAGGGAGCTCTCGTTGTATTGTTATTGATCATTTGAACTTCTCTTTTGGGGAGAGAAACTTTACCGGAGGATGCACCCAGTGTGCCAGTGTGCTCAGAGCAATTTCGATTACAAACCATAGCTTCTAAGATTATTCCTAACTTCTAGTTGTACGAAACTGCATGTTGAACCCAATATGTACCAGTAAGTTCTATTGCAGCTCTGATCACGCAGAACATCATGCCGGTAAGGGTACTCTAGGCTCTTCAATGTTTAGCATGAGTTCCAACTGTATCATCAAGAAAATACTTAACGAAATGCACTAGAGCTAAGTGAAGATCCCGGATCTCTGTACTTAGAAGTACAGTCAATCAATTCACTGTGAACTTTCAAACCTGGTGCTAGTGGTGCCCAAAGGCGCAGTTCGATTTGCCGACAAAATTTGCTGTGCGCAGTAAAGCTGTCCTCCTTTTCAAAAGTCCTTGTCCTCTTTGTTCTGATCAGCTTGCCCCTTACCTGTCTCCCAAACACCTCTTGTGAATTTTGTGCCATGAAAAGAGCTAGGACGCCAGCCTCAGAGAGGTGTAAACCCGGTGAAAGGATCATGTACAGGTGCAGGTAACATGGGGAAGTGTGGGGATGCTCTAAAATCAATTGCACACTGCATGATGTAAGCCCCAGCCAGTAAGGCGGCGTGGTGTCCTATCCGTGCTTTTCTTCCGGTTTGTAGGTTGGCTCGGAGTGTGACATATTCAGCGACATTGCCACCACGTGCGGTGCAAATCCCGGCTTTCCCATCTCCGGGGAGAGTCTGCTCCCACTAAGGGCAAGCGCTTCTTCATTCCAGACCAGTCTTGTGTCTTGCGGTAAGTAGTATTGCAAGGATTTAGAGTATGGAACTGGGGTGGGAAGGGGGAGGGGGGGGGGTGTCTGAGGGGTTGGGGAGTTTCTTCAGATCAGCAGGAGTCATAGTTACAGGATATGGAGGATACGCTTGGGAAATTCCACGCATACACACACACACACACACAAACCTTTTGGACCTTTTGACGCCCACCGCTGGAGGCGATGATAGCGATGCTACAGCAGAAGCCATAGCAGCTTGTGCTGGGATTGCACCATTCAACAGCTTGCAAGACTGAAGAATTGACCACCACTATTCAGCCTGGTCTACACCACACAGCTATGAAGTGGCTTTTTCTGGCCAGTGAATCCCTATTTTTGGTCTTTTCATACACACACACACACACACACACACACACACACACACACACACACATACGCATGCACGCACGCGCACACACACCGTCTGGCTTTGAGGCCTATGTGTGATGACCAGGACTCATGACCATTGTGATACGCCTGCTCTAGCTTATTCTGATGCATTCTGGACTTACAAACATTGCCAAACTAGATAACTATACTTACCTCACCTGAACGGTAAAGTACTGAATGCAGGGATATCTGGTTGTAGTAGTTTTGTGCCTAATGGTGCAACCCTGCACTTATCCTGTCTAGTCACCTTTTCTACCTGCTTTCAACCTTCCTCTGCCTTTTTCTTGCTACCTCTCCTCTCTCTCTCTCTCTCTCTCTCTCTCTCTCTCTCTCTCTCTCTCTCTCTCTCTCTCTCTCTCTCTCTCTCTCTCTCTCTCTCTCTCTCTCTCTCTCTCTCTCTCTCTCTCTCTCTCTCTCTCTCTCTCTCTCGCTCTCCCCTTCTTTTTCTTATCCTCTCTGTTTCACTCCTGCTTGACCCCCACCGCACCCCACCCCTATTGCAGCTACAAGTACTCATTCCACTTCTCGACCCGACACACTAGACGTGGCGATTGCATCAAGCAAAGTGAGTTGATATAAATGATTATGGATTTGAAAGTGCAGCAAAACACCCCGAACTCCGCATACCCAGGATTTCTGCACCTTCCTAATCCCTCTAGAGGGACAAAATGGCCTCTCAGCAAAACAGTACCTAAACTGATTTCATGAAACGGGTTCTCTTCCATACAATGAGTATGTATGTTCTGAGTTGCAGGCAATTCCTAGAAGCGGGCAGTCACAGGCAGGTCCCCAAGTGCCTGTGTAAAGGGAACCCAACTGCTTTGTATGAGAATAAAAATCTGCTGACCCGAGTGGCCGGTCTCCCGTACAATAAATAGACCAATTTTGAATGGGAGACTATGGGAGACCAAAGTAAAACAAGGTTTGCCTGAGACTCGGTAAGGCCGAGCTTTCCACATCCGTAGGAATGCCATCACCCTCAAGGATCGAAGTGCAGATGCAGCTCCTATACCACTGGGAGGTAAGTAGATCAGAGCCACCAACAAAAAATGATCAAAGACCTAAAATCCCATTCACCGCATCCATGTTTCCCTTGTGCCAGTCCACGAGTTCCCAATAACTGTTGGAAGCAAAGCAGCGGTTAACTCTTACGGATGAAAGGAAACGCTTCCCCGCTCCACCAGCCAGACTCTGGTGGAGGAGATAAGCTAATCTGTGAGTGGAAGAGTGAATAGTGTTACATCTCAGTGAGTAGCTGGGAACTGAGCCTAACCACTTCGTCAACTCCCACCGAAAGTGTACCAATATGAGCCAGACATTGTCCCATGGAAAGTGTACCGATATCAGGCAACCAGTGGCGAAAACACGAGTACAGTCAACTTTGCGAATAACGACACTCGGCGGGGCATCAGAAAAGTGTCCTTATTCGCGAAGTGTCCTTATACCTGAAGTCTCATTATATGTATTACAGTTAGAAGGGACTTTGCTCTGGGCATGGAAATGTTGTCGTTATTCGCGAATTGTCGTTATATCCGCAGTCGTTATAAGCGAAGTTGACTGTACACCGCATCATACTGACCCAGATAACTGCATAATACTTCCAGAACTGCACAGACCTGACAATTGTGATATGGCAGGTGGCAGGTGACATGTGGGCAGAGATGAGGGGATTCCCCCAAGCATACAAGTGCATGAGGTTCGAAATATTTCGAACGCGTGACATGTGACAGCAGGAAAACGTTGGCCCAAAACCACAAATGCAGAACTAACTCAGCCACAAGACTTTGTTAAGCCCGAGCACAACACAACAAGCAGCAGCAGCAGCAGGAAGATAACTTGGGCATGACGCAGCCAGTAGCAGCAGAAGCAGTGTCAATAAGAACTGCTTGCATTTAATGAGTTTTTTTTTACTTGAAAAAACTCTGCATGATGGACTTAGACTTGATGGTGCTTCTTCACATGTGCAAGACACTGAGACCACAATCTCAATTTCCTGTGATGCTTTTTGCTTTTGCATCCAAACCCTTCTTTAGCCATATGCCAGTTCTGTAGCACCAGACTTAGACACCCCGGCAGCTGCTGCTGCAGGGTTGTGTGAGAACACAAGCCTCTTGTACTGGCAAACAGAATGCTATTCACGGTGGCATGGTGAATGATTAGAACACAACAGAATACAATTCACGGTGGCATGGTGAATGATTAGAACACAACAGAATACAATTCACGGTGGCATGGTGAATGATTAGAACACAACAGAATACAATTCACGGTGGCATGGTGAATGATTAGAACACAACAGAATACAATTCACGGTGGCATGGTCACACGGAATGATTAGAACACAACAGAATACAATTCACGGTGGCATGGTGAATGATTAGAACACAACACCAAAAAATGAAAACAATTGTATGTGTAAACAATGCCATTTACTAGAGGAATGAGTCAAGAATCCCAATCCCCCTTTGACATACAAAATCAATGAAAAAACGCCAAAAATAAATATACAGGAAAATCACTGTGACATGGGCAGGGTTGTGTGCAGCCCCGTAGCTATCATGCGCAGGGTGCAAAATTGAAACTATGCACGGGGTCGGTCACGTGATGTGGAATTCTACCGTCGCAGACCCCATATGCTGGAGCTAGTGCTGCGGATTCACAATTAATGGTAGTATGGAGTTGTGCTGGGACTCTCGCGCACAGAGCTCAGGAGAACGAAGCTTCGCTTGGTGATGCACCAAGCATTCTATACGGCAGGCAGCGAATATCAATGACCACTTGATTGAGACACCTCTGGAAAGGGAGATATGGCTTTTAAGAGCAGAAAGTTTCTCACTTACCACTTGATGCTGCATGACGCTCCTCCATGCCATTTGAACGGGCATATCTTGGGCTAGATAGGACATGTTGCTAGATCGGACATGTTGAATTGTAAGGTGGCTAAGAAATGCGGCTATCTTCCTAGAGACAAACTTAAGGCTGGTGCCCGGAACTAAAGTTTCGGGAGGACCAAGTACAGAAAATGGATCATCAAGTCCATAGATCACAGAAGCTGAGGTTGACGAGCGTAATATCTTCAAAGTAGGGTGCATGCACCTGGAGCTGTAATCGACGATGGAGAGAATCGAGTATCCCTAAATTGATATGATGTCTATTGATAACAATCTCCAGACGCCAACTACCTCAGTTAGTTGGAGCTCTTGCGGACTGTTAGTGTGTTCTCACCAACATTCGGAGCAGCGTTCCACATAATGATATGCTTGCACTCCTGGCTTCCAGACTCTCTGGCACAGGGTGTCTTGACAGGCTTCTTGCCCAGGGTGCCCCTCATGCGCTAAGGTCATTAATTAATAGACGGTCGAAAGTGGCCACGAAGTGACTCGGCGAGGGCTTTGTACGTGTCTCCCGGGTTATCCGCAGCTACATCATCTCCGAGCAACAGATGTCGTCGCTGACCCAGCACCTGACATTTTAAGAAATCCTTGTAACTATCCATCCAGTCAAACAGTGCCTGATTGTCCGTCTTCACCCATCAAGAGCTTAACCATCGCCCACATCAACATCTGTAGCCTAAGAAATAAAACTCATGAAATCCATTGCATAATGTACAAGTACAGAATCGATGTGCTAGCAATCAGTGAAACATGCTTGGACTCTACTGTGATGAATTGCGATCTTGCTATACCAGCCTACACTCTCTATCGCCGGGACCGAGCTGATCGCAGAAAGGGTGGCGGCGTTGCCATGTATGTGCAGGAACAACTGAAATCCAGGCAACTTCAAGTCAACGACAGGCTAGAGACCATATTCGTTGGGTTGCACACCCATAGCCGAACGAATCCATTTCTATCCATCGGCTGCGTATACCGCGCTCCCGACAGCCATGTGGATTTCTGGGAGCAGCTCGACAATAGCGTGCAGATGGCCTCCGCGACATGTCCGGACATCCTCCTGCTCGGTGATTACAATGTCAACATGCTCTCTGTCCCACCTCACCCAAACGCCCGCTATGTACAAGGCCTCTGCGCTGACCACAGCTTACAAAACGTCATACTACAGCCCACCAGAGTTCCTAGTCAGTCATGCCTAGACCTTGCACTCATACCGACAACAATGACAACGGCTGCTCCGTCTTCCTCTCCCATGTCTCTTCATAGTACATTTGTTCACAGCGTCGATGGCCTGTCCGACCACCATCTTATTGGCCTCTCTGTCCGTGTTAGTAGAGCCAACTTTGAACAGCCACACGAGCAATTCTCTCGAAGACGCCAACCTAGCCTGGCTCACCTTGACCGTAGTGTAACGTCTGCAGCTCTCAAACACATCCTTGACCCCTCAGATGTATCCGGCGGTTATACTCTAAATGCAGCGGCAAGCCACTGGCAACAAAGTGTCATGACAGTACTAGATGATCTTGCACCATTCGTTACCCAGAAGCGCGCAGCTTACTCCAAACCCCGCCCCCAGCCCTGGGTCACCCCAGAGCTGAAACAGATGTTTCATCGACGAAGCTCAGCCCACCGCGCCTTAATAAAGCACCCCATGGATGACCGCCTCCGACAGCAGTATCGTGCAATACGTCGTCAAGGAACTTTACTAAACCGCAAACTGAAAAGTGTGTACTACAAAGATAAGTTCAGTGCCGCTACAGGAAATCCTAGACTCCAATGGGCAGTGCTGAATCAACTAACTGGAAGGAGAAAATCCCACCCCACACCGAAAGCCTCCCTCTCATCTTTGTCAGATACCCTAGGCAATATCGTCCATGATGAACACCGCGCTGCTCTTACGACCCCAGACACTCCGGCGGACGACTGTTTAGACAACTGCCTTCTCGAATTCCAACCCGTTACAACAGCAGCAGTAACGAAGATTCTCGAACGATTGAATACCACGAAAGCATCTGGATCAGACGGCATACCAGCTTACATCTTGAAACACCATGCCGCCGAGCTGGCCAATTCCTTAACTTCCATCTTCAACCAGTCATTGTCTAGCGGAAAGGTACCGTCAGCCTACAAACTAGCGTCTGTGTGTCCAGTGTTTAAGAAAGGCGACCCCTACGACAGTTCCAACTATCGCCCAGTCTCGCTACTGCCCATTATCTCCAAAGTCTTGGAATCACTAGTGCTCCAGCAGCTTCACGACCATCTGGACATCACACCCGCAGCAATTCCAAATGAACAGTTTGCATACAGGCGGAACCACAGTACTGAGGACCTTTTAACACTTGCCATCAACAACTGGCAGAGAAGCATGGATACCGGAGACTATACGGCCGTACTGCTGCTCGATATGAGCAAAGCCTTTGACCGCGTCCACCATCAAACGCTAATAGATGACCTTCACAATCTGAAGATCCGTGGAAATGCTCTTGAGTGGTTCAAGTCGTATCTGTCTCACCGACAGCAACGCGTAGAAGTGAACGGAACCTCAAGTGACTGTAGAACCTGCACTAGGGGCGTTCCCCAGGGTTCCGTCCTAGGCCCTACCCTCTTCAGCATCTACACTCGACTTGTCCCCACTCTGCCATTGCGTTCCCAATGCCTTCTTTATGCAGACGAC